ATTTCTGAATATCTCCCTGAATTTTTAAGAACTTTTGAAAAACATTAGAAGCTCTGCCACCATCTAAAGCACTGAGGAATCTGATAAGAAAATATTTCTGAAACAATAACTCATCAGGTCATAGGTTGCTAAGTGTTTCTAATAAAAGTGCTTAAAAATTGTTTGGTTAATTGGGTGTTTCCTAACTGCTAAATGTCCAGTCTTGTGTGCCTCCACCTGGAGAATTTCCTTGTATCTATTTATCTTTATACATGTTAATATAAGAAATAAGATCACGTTGTAACTGGCTGTAAACTGAAGGCATATCTGATTTTTTTTTACATAAACTTCCACACAGAAAAGCCTTGGTGGTGCAGTGGTTAGAATGCAGTATTACAGGCTGACTCTGCTCATAGCCAGACCGGCTCAAGGTTGACTGAGCCTTCCATTCTTCCGAGGTCAGTAAAATGAGGATCCACCTTGTTGGGAGCAATATGCTGACTGTGTAAACCGCTTAGGGAGTGCTGCAAAGCACTATGGACCGGTATATAAGTCTAAGTGCTATTGATATTGCTAAACAATACTATATATAAACAATATATATAATAATATAATATAATATTGTATATAATATATACAATATATCAAAATTATCAAAGACATATATATATATATATATATATATATATATATATATATATATATATATATATATATATATATATATATATATATATATATATATATATATATATATATATATATATATATATATATATATATATATATTGCAAATCCATGTATAATATGACATATATATAATAATAAATAGGAAATAAGGATTTATCACCTGCTCAAAAAACTCATCCATAAAACGATCCCGATCCACACCAACAGCAACCTCGTCGTCATCATCACTGTCCTTGGCCTGCAATGGCAAGAAACATAATTTCAATATCTGCAATCTCAAAGGCCTGCCTCAAAGAATGCAAAGACCTAAATTCTGCATCATAAGGCCAGAGCAGACATCAGTTGGATAGTACCTTTGATTTCCCCCAAGGACAAAGACAGCTAATACTTTGATTCCTATTCTTCCAACTCATTCATTTCTGAGTTCTTCTAGTGCCAATAAATCCTCCTTTCTCCAGGGTGAGCTAAAAGCAAAAGTACTACCGTATTTTCTGGCGTATGATGACTTTCTAAACCCTGAAAATCTTCTCAAAAGTCGGGGGTCGTCTTATACGCCCAGTCGTCTTATACGCCAGAAAATACAGGTATTCTATTTTTTTCCTTTATATAGCCCAAACTCTATATTTTAACTGGAAAAGTTGGGGGTCGTCTTATACGTCCAGTCGTCTTATACGCCGGAAAATACGGTATTACCTTTCTGCACTATATGGGGATATTATCCAGCTCCTCAGTGCCTACCCCACTATGTTCTTTCTATATCTGTGCCTTGGGCTGTGTTTACTCTCCCCCAAGGCAATAACCATAAAGAGAAGGGCTGAAACATCGGAAGAAAAACTTTGATCACAATTGTACCAAGCCCAATTGAGCCAGGAGCAGGAAGTAATACAGTACACTCCCACCATCCCAGTAGCCACAAGTCTGTCCAAGCTCCATCTGGTTCAAGCAACTCTGATCCTGTGTTGCCAGGAAACTCCTTTAAGGTGCCAGTGACAGTCACAGAAAGGATGTCATACCGTATTAGATCTGGAGTACCTTTGCCCTCTCAGAATTTGAATCCCACATTCTTCTAGGGCACACTCAAATTTGGTGCCTTTCACAGAAACACTGAACACATTTTGCCTCTACACAATTCCGTACATAATTCTTCTTTGAAGAACCAAAAATCATAAAGGGTCTGCTGGCACCTTTTCCCACCAATGCATTTCAGCAAAAGGCATAAGCTTTTTTTAGCTGCCCCTTTCTTCACCACAAACTCGGAATGCCTAAACTGATGTAGGATTAAACTGAGATGAAGCAGAGAGGGAAAGGAGGGGAAAATAAAACAGGGTAGTTGTGTGGATGCAAGTTACAGGTGAAACAGATTATAATTGGCTTATCAATTAACATTTGTAACTCATTAAAAAAAGTATTGTTTGTTGAAACTGTCTGGAATATTTTGAAACTTTTTGATATATGTGAATTCATCAGTAGTCCAATTCATTGTGATGTTGCTGTAATGTTTCTTTGTTCCAAAATGCCACTCGAAGATCTGCAATGGACAATCTTGGGAGACTGAAATGTTCTGATATTTTTTCCTTGAGTCTTGATGTCAATCATGTGTCCATTAATTCTTGAATGCAAAGTATAGATAGTCGTTGACTTATGACCATAATGGAGTCCAGAATTTCATTTGTAAGCCATTGCAGTCGTAAATCAACTGACTGGACTTGATTTTATGATCATTTTTCTGACACTGGAAACCAGGAAAAACATTGCAAACTGGGGTCATGCAGCCATGGGACGCTGCAACTGAATATAAATCTAAATGTGAACATAAATTGCAAGCTGGTTTCCAATGCTTGAAATGTGACCAGGTGACCAGGAGAGGGGCAGCAGTTTTAACTTTGAGGACAGGTTGTAAGTAGCTTTTTTAAAGTCTGTCTTCACTTCAAGGTTTACATCAGATTTCAACTAGGCAAAATATAATGCAGCTACGGGACAAGGCCTTTCCGTACTGCTGTTCCCATAGTAATTACCTCTGCCCACATTTAACATCCTTGCTGAATAGTCAAGCACATGTTTTCTGGTTCAACTGTCCCCAAAGTCAAATGGCAAAACTTGTGTTTTGTGTTGCTGGAGCTCCTTGGAATTCAGAGGCAAGCTGGTTTCTCAGGTTTAGGACCTCCTGCCAATCTCCATCACTCAGTTCTTAGGATCTTGCCACCCCACATCTGACCAGCTGCCTTAAAGCTTCAGTGTCCTCACAAGTGGGCTGCAGGGTTACCAGTCAGCTGACAACTTTTTATTTTTTGCCTCACAGTGAACAATTGTGGTAAAAGGAAAGGCAGCGATAGACTGGGGGCGAGGAAGTCAACAAGGAGCCTTTTTTGATACTTCCTAATTGGCCAACCGGAGGGAGCAACTGTCAGCACCAGTGAGTACTCATAATCTGTATTTGGATCCAGAAAGAGGTAAAGATGCTTTGGAGGCAACATAGGAACCCTTACTCTGGTGCCATATGGACCACTGTCCTCTTGGGATATGAACAATGCAAATCTCTGTTCACAATGGCTGTTTGAAGGGAAAGAAGTATAGGATTTTATTTATTTATTTTATTTATTTAATTACATTTGTATCCCGCCCTTCTCCTTGCGGACTCAGGGCGGCTGACAATGATTAAAATACTAACATATACATCTAATTAAAAATTGATTAAAAAGAAATATTTAGATACGTCAAATTTAAAAGTAATTAAAACCCCTTTAAAATCCCTTAGGCCAGTCCCGCGAGCTGGAACAACCACGTNGGCCCTCCCCCTTGGGGTCGCCAGCCGGCACTGTCTGGCTGACGGCACCCTGAGGAGACCCACTCTGTGGGAGCGTACAGGTCGGTGGGGGGTAATCTGTGGCAGGAGGCGGTCTCAAAGATAACCAGGTCCGCTGCCATGGAGCGCTTTAAAGATCATAGTCAGCACCTTGAAGCGCACCCGGAAGGCTACCGGCAGCCAATGCAGCTCGCGCAGAAGCGGCGTAACGTGGGAGCGACGAGTCCCTCCCAACACCGCCCGCGCGGCTGCATTTTGAACTAGCTGGAGGATGTTGTAAGACTGAATCTGAGGAGTGGAAACAGTCTTGGCAGAGAAATGCTTTGATTTCCAGACATATGTCTCCTCTGTTTAAAATGGGTAATAGTCAAAAATAGCTGTTTACCCAGCATTAAATCAGTCCCTCCTCAAAAAGTGAGATTCAGGAAGCATGATTCTAAACAAAGGTTTCTTCGAGGATGCACAGTGCAGTCAGGAAGGACGCAACGTAGGCTGTCTCTCTTCCTGGAGAGAAGGTGCTGCCATGTGCTTGAGACTCCTACAGCCCTGTGTGGCAGCACAGGAACTCAGCTGGGGAGTTTGCACTTACATCTCAAGCAATCACATTCCTTGCAGGGAAATGGCAAACCATGCGTGGGCGCATTGCTTCAAATCTCTAGAGTCGTCCTCCTCTGCAGCCCTCCCTCTCTTGCTTCTTGAAGAGGGAGCATTCCAGGTCGGGGCCACATCCCATTCTGGTGGCCCCAAATCACAGCTGACAGTCGTCATGGCAACCTCTCCCTCAGAAGGAGTGGGTGCAGCTGGGAGCAAAGGGTGCCCTTCCTTGCTCAGGAATAATGCTCCAGGGTCCCTACTTGGCAGCTTGGGCCGAAGCATCAGTAAAAACAAGACTAGAGTTTGGCGCGGGGAAGAACACAGTGTCCAGTTGATTACTGAGCCGTGTTGCAATTTAAGAAGAATGATCTGCAGTCAAAGTAATGATTTGTACCCTTATTAAAGGTTATTTAATTTGCATTTTATACTGTTGCTTCAGTTCTTTATTAAGGATAGGAACCCAACCATTGGTCAGTGACCATAGTAAACTGGGATTGATTCCACAGATGCCAGCTGATTTCAACCACCAATTCTAAAACAAAAATTCTGTTATTTGTATTAGGGTGGGCATTTTTTCTCTCTCCTTGCATTCCTTCAGACTATCAAGTCACACTCAGCTTTTTGTGTTTGAAGGCTTGAAAGCCTGTGGGCACATTCTAGGTCAATGTTTCTCAGCCTCATCAACTTTAAGCTGCATGGACTTTAACTCCCAGAATTCTCAGCCAACATGCTTGCTGAGGCATACTGGGACTTGAAGTCCACACATCTTAAAATTGATGAGGTTGAGGAAACACTGACCTAGGTAGAGTCTGATGAGCACAAAAGAAATGTTCAAAAAGAAGATGCAATGATGACTTTAGAGTCCAGAAGAGTCTTCTCAAGCATTTTAAAGTCTAAGCAAAGCAGGAAAAAGTTGGACACATAATCAAGGATGGACTTTCCCATATAAGCTATCTGCTCTCCCACCAAATAAATGTCTATGGTGCTTTCAGGAAGCTTGGAACCAGTGTCTCTTTCTTTCTCCATTAATTGTGTTTTGTGCAAGTGCCACATTTAGTCTTCTCCACCAAGCCCTTCATGATGCACCAAGTTCCTTAATCTTCCTCTTTATGATTGAGGAGCATGCCCTACTCCAAATGATTTGGTTGGCCCCTCCATTTGCTCAACAATCCAAACTTACGGGCTTTCTGTGCTTGAAGCTTCTACAATGAAAGGTAGGGTACATATTTTTAAATAAATAAATCTGACACAGCGCCAACTAGATTTTGGAGAGCTTCCAGACACAAAAGGAGCAACAGCTAAGCAATCTGGCCTGGCATTAGGTATATTAGAGAGGTTTGTGGGCTTTTTGTCTGTGCATCAACCAACCCTTTTTCACCACCAGAGTTGGAAATGCACCTGTGCTCGCTCTTCTCCTCCCCACTCCCGCCCCCTCCGTTCCACCTCCTCCATTGTGCCATTTTTACCCACCATTGTTTCAGCCCCCTGGCCTTTATTGCAAGCAGCAGCTGCCAGGTCCCTCCTATCAGACACCCAGGAAACAAAGGGTAGGAAAGCCTTGTTGCCAAGAGGTACCAGCTAGGTGTCATGTCATTTCATTTTGATTCCCTGTTAAAATATGCGTATATTGGCACTAAAGCCCCTTTTAATCATTTTGCTTCAGGCAGTCGCAAGCTTATTCTTAGAAGCCACAAGTTCTTATTAATGCTTATTTTGAAACTGGAGCAAAGCAGAAAGACTCAATAGGAACTGCAGACCTAGTAAAAAAGTATAAGAAAGGAACCGTTCCTCTAACATTA